TGTCCTTTGTAGGGACATGGATGCAGCTGGAAACCATCATTCTCAGCAAACTATCACAAGGACAGAAAACCAAACACCTCATGTTCTCACTCATAGGTGGGAATTGAACAATGAGACACATGTTCCCCTTGGACACATGAAGGGGAACATCACACACCGGGTCCTATTGTGGGGAGGGGGTGGGGAGGGATAGCTTTAGGAGATATACCTAATGTAAATGACGAGTTAATGGGTGTAGCACACCAACATGGCACATGTATACATTTGTAACAAACCTGCACATTGTGCAAATGTACCCTAGACCTTAAAGTATAAAAAAAAAAAGAAATGATGAGTGAGGTATCCTGTGCACAAAAGGGTACTGACGGCCCTCTGCTACAAGTGACTAGGTGAAGGGAGCAGGAGTTGTATGCAAACACAATGATAGGTGCAATGATGCTAAGTATTGAATTAAACATTGAGTGATTTTTTTGATGGATCTTATTGATGGTTCCCCATAATCCATAGATTGAGTAAATGTTTAGAGTGTTTAGATGTTATAGCTAAGATATTTATTTATTTATTTAATTTTACTTTTTTGAGACAGACTCTCACTCTGTAGGCCAGGCTGGAGTAGGGTGACACAATCTCAGCTCACTGCAAGCTCCGTCTCGCAGGCTCAAGCAATTCTCGTGCCTCAGCCTCCCAAGTAGCTGGGATTACAGGTGCCTGCCACCATTCCTGGCTAATTTTTGTATTTTTAGTAAAGATGGGGTTTCACCATGTTGGCCAGATTGATCTCAAACTCCTGACCTCAGGCGATCCACCTGCCTCTGCCTCCCAAAGTTCTGGGATGACAGGGTGAGCCACTATGCCCGGCTTATACCTAAGCTCTAGATGTCCTATGCTTTTAATTCATTAGCTCCAAGTCTTGGAAAGAGGCTTCTCAAACATCCATCCCAATAGAAGATCAGGATTATAGTCAAGCAGCCAAGAGTGCAAAGGCAGCTGGCCTAAGCTGGGATCCTTCTCATAATAAAGAACTCATGGTTTCCAAGCCACATCTAAAATGATTGTGTTCCATCAGCCTGTACTGATGTGTGTCCCGCCTTCAAGCCTTATCCAAAACAACTCGAGGCTCTGCAACTAGAAATACACCTCTCACTCCCTAGTGAAATAGACCCAACTTTTTGTTAAAAAGCTGTCATCTTATCCAGCCTTATCTCATCAAAGTAGTGGACTCTCCTATATTCTCCAAGTCAAAATATAGATATCCTTGACCCACGTGTCATCGGATATTTTCCATGAAGGAAGACTTTCACGGAAACTATATTTTTAAATTTCAGATTTTACTATTTCCCTTTCAGTTTTATCAATAATAGAAACCATGGGAAAGGGCCTGAGAGATCGAACTTCAGTTTACAGATGAGGAGAGGAGTCCCAAGGAAAAGAGAACAACATTCTAGAATTATCCACCGAACTGCTGACTGAGCTGCTCCAGGTTCTCATTCCAGGTCTCTTTCTGCCCCATTCTTCTCAACTTTCATGTGGCACTGAAGGGAACACTGAATAGCCATGAAGCTCATGAAGCAGCAAAGGCTGTCCAGTCATTTTCCCCAATCCCCTACCTTCTCCCCTCAACCCCACAAACCCCTTGTCTGAACCTGCCCCCAGCGAAAGGCAGGACCATGGGTTCTCACTCATTTCCATGTACTCCGGAGTCAGTCCTGTGTATGGTTCCAAGCTGTAGTCTAGGTCCCACTGCTCTGGATGTTTCGAATGGGCAGAGTCAGTTTCTCCAGCTTCTGTCTCATCTTTCAGCTTTCGAAATAGTTTCTTTAGCTTCCTGGAAAAGAAATGGATTAAGTTACAAAAAGCCTCTGGAGAACAGGGTTGGTTTTGCAGACAGAAAAAAGAAAAAGAACACAAAGGTTTGACACTAAAGCCATCTCTGATCTAAAAACAAGTAGAGATAGAGAGACACTAAAGAGACTACGTTTCTCCTAAAGACAACCTGAGGAAGTCCTTTATCAAGATCATGCAGACTCCCTCCACAAAGGATCAGGTTTCTTCAAAGCCCAAAAACCTTTTGAATTCTTCCTGCTGTTTGAAAAGCAACAAGAGAGTTGGCCCTTCCTGCCAATGCTGAGACAGCGCCAGTCCTATTGTCCAACAGGTGATCTATCCACCCTCTTCATGGGGGAACACAGGGCTGTTCTCCTCCCAGGTGAAACATTTTTCAAGTCTCAATAACATTAATAGCATCATCTTTCCATTAAAGCCAAGCTAAGCATTGCCCACCACTGCTATGGACTGAATGGTGTCCGCTGAAATTCATTTACTGAAGCTCTAATCCCCAGTGTGACTGTATTTGGAGATACGACTTTTAGGAGATAATTTAGATTAAGTGAGGTCAAAAAGGTGGGGTTGTAATCCAATAGGACTGGTGGCTTTATGAGTAGAGGAAGAGAGAAAGAGATACCTCATCACCATCTGAGGACACAGTGAAAAGGCAGCTTAGCTACCTGTAAGCCAGGAAGAGCCCTCATCAGAAATTTAACCCTTTTGGACCTTGATCTTGAACCTTTCAGCCTCTAGAACTATGAGAAAATAAATTTCTATTAGTTAAGCCTAAGGCATTTTGTTACAGCAGCCTGAGCAGACTAAGACAACACATTCAGGATTTTTTTGGTCTAGAATGATAATAATGGCCCAATTTATCAGGGTTGATATAAGAATTAAGTGAAACAATGTTTATACAGTCCTTAGCACAATATCTGGACATAGTGAGCATTGAATAGATGATATCTATTATTATTTTTAATATTGAATGTTAAAATACACCTTAGGGGCCGGGCGCGGTGGCTCACGCCTGTAATCCCAAGACTTTGGGAGGCCGAGGTGGGCGGATCACGAGGTCAGGAGATCGAGACCATCCTGGCTAACACGGTAAAACCCCGTCTCTACTAAAAATACAAAAAACTAGCCAGGTATAGTGGCGGGCACCTGTAGTCCCAGCTACTCGGGAGGCTGAGGCAGGAGAATGGCGAGAACTCGGGAGGCGGAGCTTGCAGTGAGCCGAGATAGCGCCACCGCACTCCAGCCTGGGCGACTGAGCAAGACTCTGTCTCCAAA